CTTGAAAAAGTTAGCTCTAAATATGTTAGACTATTAAAGAAGTACAAAACATTGTCTATTGAAAATAAATCTTTGATAGATGAAAATTATTGTTTGAAAAATAGAGCTACTAATAATGWCTTGCATATTGATAATTCTTGTGATGGAAAACATGCCTTGAATGATAAGATTAAATTTCTTGAAAAAGAAAAWRAGGATCTCAAATCTCTAGCATATGCGAATTAATAAYTGATTTRAATGATTTGAGAAATAAGAATAAGAAAATGGAATCTTTTTCTTTGGAATTAAAGAATAACATTGCTAGCTTGAAAAGCGAAATTGTTATGTTGGAAACTAGCAATACATCTTTGGAGAAAGAGAAAATTTATTTATTGACAAAATTAAATTTCTTGAGCTTGACGTTTGTGAGAAATTTGATCTTTTGCAAGTGCTTGAGGAAAAAGAATTACTTGCTAGTAAAGAGCTTGAAATTGCAAAAGAGTCTATTGAGAAGTTGACAATAGGTGCTCAGAGGTCAGATAAGATAATTGAAGTGGGCAAACCTTTTGGTGATAAAAGAGATTTARGTTACATAGATGAATGCTCTACTCCTTCAAATTCTAAAACTATATTTGTTAAAGCATCGCCTATTGTGCCTAAGCTTAATATGYCTAATTTTGTTTCTAAAAATGCTAAATCTAGTTTTGTGTCTATATGTCATCATTGTGATATTGAAGGTCATATTAGACCTAAATGCTTTAAATTGAAATATGCACAAACTACTTCTTCTAGAAGAAATTTTTCTCAAAAAGTAAAGTTTCACAATGCTCCAAAAGAAAATTTTYCAAAGAAAAGTATGGTGCATAAATTTGTTGAAAGAAATAAATTTTTGCATAATGTTAATTGTTCCTCATGTGACAAGTATGAACATAAAGCTTATTCTTGGCATTTGTCTAAATCCAATGCTTTAAATGTCAATGCAAATGCTAAATTTATGCCTAAACATGGAAATGGTAGAAATATGGATTCAAAATTGAATTTTATGCCTAAACATGCTTATGCTAGAACTAATTATATGCATAGTGCTAAACTTGTGTCTAAGCATGTTCATGGTAAATCAAATTATATGCATAATGCCAAATTTGTACTTACTTGTCATTTTTGTGGAGTTAAAGGTCATGTTAGGCCTAATTGTTTTAAATTGAAAAATGCTCCAAGAAAGAATTTCTCCATGAAATGTAGTGTGCAAAATCAAATTGTTAAGAATAAATTCTTGTCTAATGATTGTTGCAAAATTGATTATAAATTCGATATTTGTTTGCCAAAAATGAATACTAAAAATATTGGAACTATTTCGAAATAGGTTCCAAAGTCTATGCTCACTACAATGAAGGACCCAATAAATGGGTACCAAAATCTTTTGGTTGAACTTTCTTTTTGTAGGTATGTTTTCAATAAGCAAATGGTTGCTTTGGACTTCAAATTGAAATTAAATTCTARATGAGCAACATTATGGCTTGCTTGAAATACAACCAAGGAAAATGACGTATTCGGTATCTTTATCCTTGTTSTTATTGAGATTATTATGCTTTTTATATAATTTATGGAATTATATATCTTTGATGGGTTAGAGAAGTTGAGATTAGTTTCTTATTGTTTATTTATGAATCAAATGCCTTTGAGTAAATTGAGAATATGTTTGGCACTTATGTCTATTGATTGATTATTTACGGGATTAGTTGAATTATTTCTTGAGTAAATTAGAAATATATTTTTTTGCATTAATCTTTATTGCTTCATTATTTATGGATTAGTGGATTATTTTTGGGGTATYGGGCTAAATAGTCTTTTTCAAAGGCCCATTACGGAATGTGGTCTCTCTCTTCATTTTTATGTTTTGTAAACATTTGCTGACATCAATTTTGTGTGAAAATATGTATTTACCCTATTTATTTTTTCTTCAATTTATTACTTTCTCCTTCATTTCTCTCTCCTTTTTCCTCTCTATATCGTTACAAATTCTCTCTGTCTTGAAAAATTGAACCAACTTTCTCTCTCTTATTTGAGCCCGAAAAAGAGAGTTGTAACRGTTTGATMCTGAACTGTGGAAAGGATCAGGTTTTTTCTTGCTCCCGAAAAAAAGAAGGTTTTATACCGGTTTGACTCCTACCTTGAAAAGAGTCAAAGTTTCTTAATCGAATACTCAAGAGGTGCTTGGAGGGTCGAGTAGGCGATTTGCCGAACCACTATAAATTTCCGGTGTCATTTTCTCTAACTCTCTTCTCTTTAATTTTTGCAATTAATTTTCTTTATTATAAATTGCATGAAATTAATTGTTAGAATTTGTTATTCATGCTTATGGTCAATATTTATAATTGAATTATTTGGGTGGTGAAATTAATTAGGGTGTTTGTATTTTTAATTTGTTGTTTAATTTTRTGTTAAAATCATTTGTTCATAAAAAGTTTACTTATTTGTTTAAATTGGGTCGACCGTGTTAAAAAGTTTATAAAGTTTAATTAAACCCTATTCATCCCCTCTAGGTTGTCATACCGATCCAAGACATTCTTTATCTCCCTCTCTACCCCTATTCATTTTAAAAATAAAAACAAAAACAAAAATACTTTTACAAATAGTTCTTGAATTAAATAAAACAATCCAAAATCATTTTTAAAAATTTTTCCTACTCTCTTGCTCTCAATTGAGAGTTTGAGTTTTAGGTAATATATGTTTATGGAAAGGATGTAAAACTTAGRGAATATTTCACCAAATTGGTCTTTGTCTTCCTACATGTATATGATCATCGTGATTAAAAGTTTTTTTTTTTGTGTGTTTCTTTAATTTGTTCCTTTCYCTCTCTTTGTTACACCAAAAATTTGCATGCTTGCAGCCTCAACTTTAGTAATTTTAAATAAAATGGWAGATCAATACTCTAATAAAGATACGAAACCCGAATTACGATTAAATCAAAAGTTTGGTCTCTGAATTTTTATGGGTAGTAGTTTTTATAAGTTCTTAATAGATTTCTAAACTTTTCCCCGTATTGAAATATGTTTTTAAAAAATACAAAGACTAAATAGACCTAAAGTTCRTAGATTTATTAGGAACTTTTTGAAGTACAAGGATTAAATAGATATAACTGTCAAAGTTCATCATCACTCTTATAATTTAACCTAATTGAAACATTTGGAGGTGTTTGTTTCTGTTTTTTTTCTTTCTTTTTTTAAATACATTGCAAATAAGTGGGTCGAGAACCAAACATAAGAGGAAGATACAAATGTCGTCTAATCACGTGAGCTAAGCGATCAAGATTATGTTTAATACTATGTAGATTTATTACTTATTCTAAGTCACGAGTATGTCTAACTCCCGAGCTACAAAAACACCTACTTTATACAATATATAACATTTTTAAATCACAAACTCACAAACCAAATATAAATTACATAAACCCAATACGATCCAAAMACAGTGCTACACAATCTCAGATTTCTTGATATCGTCGAGCTAACAACCGCTCAAACTCGTCGATCAAAACCTTCAAAATTAAGGAATCAATCAAAGCTAGAAAACCAAACACCAAAATGACAAGAGGGTTAAGGTGGCCCTCTCTCAATCTAAAAGCAAATGAACATTTATTCAAAGTAGTTTGACTTTGAGAGAGAGGTTCATGAACTTGAACCCCTTTTGAAGGGCATGCATGATTGGCAAAGAGGGAAAATGAATGGGAAAAATTAGGGTTTTGACATTTTAAAGAAAGAGATTGCTTTGTTTTTTTCTAGAGGGAGACTGCCGACATAATTCTTTTCCACCAAACAAAGACCGCCAATTAGTGGTGTTCAAAAAAATCCGATGATCCAAAAAAATTGATCAATCAAATCAAATCTATAGGATTTTGGTTCGGTTGAGTTCAAATAAATGAAAACTTATAAGTTAAAGTTATTTTTAAGGTTCCTAAAATAAATGTGGGTTGAATCGAACAAATTCAAACTTATTATTATTTTAAAATAATTTCTTTTACTTACCCGGCATAAAATTATGTATGGGTGTATTTATTTTAATCTCAACATCTTTTAAAAATAACTTTTTTAATTTTCTAGGTGTGATTTTTCACTGTATAAATAAACATTTGATTATTTTGAATGAGTTACTTGAGAATAATCTGAACCAACCAAACTCAAATACTTCGTGGTTGAGTTGGGCTGGATTCATTATTTAATAAGAGTTGTTTATGTTGAATAAGTTTACATCTCAAATAATTGAGTTAGGTCTAAAAAATACGTCAATCCCAACAAAATTTCAAATTTTTTTTTGTTAATTTTTTTTTTGTTCCTTTCCATTTTCCCTTATTTTACGGGCAAATCATTTGTAGTATTCATGACATAGGATAGTTGATRTCCTCGTTCTGTCAAAGCACAAGTTGTTTATTTGTTTGTTTTTATTTATTACCATTCTTTTTCCTTGAAGAATGGGAGATTGAATTTGAGATTGGTCGAGAGTGTTTGACGTTTAAATAATTGGGGGGTTAATATAGAATTTTGTGTTACTTGTTTTGGTATATAGTAAAATGGTGTATCTTAGYCATTGAATTATGCTCAAATTGACAAATAATGATTTTAAATACAGATAACAACACTGTAATAATTCTCTCTCTCAAGGCCAGATAACATTTTTCATCTTTTGTTCTGTTTCCTCACTTTTACGAAAAAATGAAAAAAAAACGTATGATCCCCRACACCCATAGATTCAAGAACGATTAAACAATATTTTTATTTATGTTTTRGAACAATTGAAAGTGGGAACGTTTCTAAAATTTCTCAACAATTTTGAGAATGTTTTTTAGATACAAGAATTATAAATAGTTGTCAAATACTTGAATCTCTTAACAAATTGAAAASGAGAAGCAAAAACCGAAAACATTACTAAACGACCCCTTATGAAATGCTCAGCTCACCATTACAATAAACCTGGCTTTAGGAAGCTTGAATTTGTGTAATCTATGTGYCAAGAAGAAAAAAATCAAAGAAAGAAATGTAACCTATAACTTGATTCATAAGATTATGATTTGTAAAATTCATATGAAAGTAACAAAAAAAAAATTGGATTTCATAAGCCKAAGTTCACATTTCACAATGTGTTTTGCCTTTGGCATTGCATCCAATCGGCAAGAATCTCAAAATCAATGAACTCKATGCCGAAGTAATGGTTCCTAGCAATAGGCATATCAATTGTTTGGTGGAAAGATACGGGAATAGGGAGATAGAACAGATTCCTTCACATACTTCTTCGAGTCGATCGTGTCGGGAACCCAGCGGATCTCGCTCATATTCGGTGTCTCTACAAACACCATGTTGAACTCTCCCACCTTCTCTATCTTCCCTCTCTTCCCTGCCCGCAGCACCAGGTTGTTTCGGCTGTAGGAGAATATCCCATTCGTCAAGCGGATAATATCGCTTGGCTCAACCGCGTCGCACTCATCCCCCCATAGCTGGAAGTGAACAGCAGCCGTTTCGTCAGCCACCAGTGATAGGCATGCCTTGTTTTGGCCTTCTGCTGTTGTCTTCCCTTTGTCCAAAACTATGAACTGTGCATTCACATTGTTCTGGGCTGCTGGCACCAAGTCCTTGAGAGAGATCATTTCTTGAGCTTCTTTAACTGTCATAAACCAGCAAACAATACTCTGTTATTTTCAAACACACCAAAGCCATTACCAAAAGAATGAAGCATCAAATAGTTTCGGCTACAATTATGAATTCTCGTTAAGAAATACGTCTCTAAACATAAAATTCCTATTGAATTGGTGCAACGAATAAATAGGCATAGCGCGTGGGAACATTAGTGACGATATTAAACCCATCTAAAACTGGGTCTATGCATTTTAGCTTCTGTTGCTTCGTTCGGTAATTTCTACAAACATTTAGAGGACACACCAAAGAAAATGAGTAACAATAAAGAAACTCCTTGGGAATTCCAATTTCATGATATAAGATGGAAATCAAATTTGATTAAAGTTTATGATCTAAAGCCCAGAGTTGCCTTGAAACATTAAACCACTGGAAAATACAAACGTATTAAGAAAAGAGAGGAAGACGTGAAAAAAAAAAGGAATTGGAGATAGCCTAAAAATCGAAATAACGAAGAAATGTTAATTTCCTCGCCGAACAATGACAGTTTTCCCAGTGAAAGAAGACAAGTACAGGTTTTGAGTGTACGAAGGACCCTTTTGTTTTAGACGGTGAATGCAAAAGAACCTTTCAATGAGGGGTGTAATTGGTTCAGGTTGGGTTGGTTTCCATGTATAAGGGTGAAAACCGAATCAGTTCGGTTAAGTGGAGAAGAAAACTGGATCGACCCAAGTAAGGTTGGGTCATTACACCCCTAATTTTACTCCCCCATGGCAGATTCTCCACCCTCAACATTCAAGCAGCTTACAAAGTTCTTGAGCCTTTCCAACAACGTGACATGGAAAATAGCTAGCAAAAATGGATCAAAGAACATGCAAGAAGGGGATAAAAAGATAAAAATTTATCGTAATCCATGTGATCAAGCTTTTGGGTTGATTGGTTATTTAGCATGGTATCAAAGCTGGAGGTCATGTGTTCAAACCCTATAAAGTCATTCCCTCTCCGATTAATATTCGACGGTAACCCATGAACTAAAGCTTTTGATTAATGATATATATATCTCTATATATATGTACATATGTATGTACATATATATGTACATATGTATGTATGTGTGTACATATGTATGTATGTATGTGTGTACATATGTATGTATGTATGTGTGTACATATGTATGTATGTATGTGTGTACATATGTATGTATGTACTCCTATTTTCTACAGAGTAGTGGGTCCCATGGAAAAAAAAACTACAAGCAGGTKAAGAGCCTTATTTTTATTTTTGGTATTCTACTACTATGGAATTCCTTTTTTTCTTTTTTTTTTCCTTCTTTTTTTTTGACGAGAATAAAAATGTAATTTTTAACATTACATATAAAATTACAACATGTACTAAGTTAGATCAGAATTCRAGCAGAGTTTGATAAATATTTAACAAATTTTTTAATTCTCGTGAAAACCTTAAACTTAGAATAAATTTGGTTTACACAAATCGCAATCATACTACTCTAGAATCAGAACCAAATCCAGGATTAAAATCACACAAAAAAAGTATAAATCTAGATTCATAAGCAAGAACTTCAGCCAACAACTATAATCTCCACGGAAAATAAATTAAACTAAAAAATTTTGAAAAACATGAGATTTAACTCCAAAAGTCATAAACAACTAACCATATGCTATGCTACACAAATCTCCAAAACATGAAGAACTAAACATGAGACTGACTCAATGAGAGAATACTTAAGAAGTAAACATGTGTGCACTAACCTTTCCATAAATTTAAGTCAAAATAGAAGTTCTTGTTTCGTTAGATTAGTTCTTGTTTGACTCCGTTTTAGGGTTGTCATTTTTGTAGGCCTATCTTTTGTTGGTCCGTGCTTTCTAGCTTCTTGATTGGCCCTTTTATATTCTTTCATTTTTTATTTATCGACGAAAAATAGATCCAGAATCATAAACTTGAACTACAACACAAACCGCAATGCAAAATTGAAAATACAACACAAACTAGAAATAAATCCAGAACTGAAGAATCGTAAACACCAATAAGAAAATTTAGTCAAAACCATAAATTAGAACTAAGAGTCACAACAAGAATCGCCAAGTAAAACTAGATGGAGAACTATAATATATAACCACAATGTAAAACAAAATCTGCAAGTAAAACCATAATCATTTGTTGAATCACCACTAAACAAATTTTTGGGTTGAATAGTGATTTTGATTTAACATCTAAGAAGCACGGACATAGACACGGATACAACGTTGACACGCCAATTTCTAAAAATATAGGACAGACATTTTGGGGACATATTATTTTATTTATTATTATTTTTAGATAATATATGCATATGTGAATTGATATAGTAATACTAATACTTCTAAATAAATTAACCACACAAATTGAACAAAACAAATCAAAATATGCTTAAYAATACTAAATCAGTTATCCAACCCAAAACTTTTAGTTTATAACTAAGTACTAACCATTARATTTATGGGGTATTTGGCTGGAAGTGAATCATAGATTGTTTAGGGGTGGAAAAGTCTGTGGACTATGTTTGGGATATCGTTAGATTTAATACTTCGTTTTGGGGTTCAATTTCTAAACCCTTTTGTAATTATCCATTAGGCTTTATTCTTTTGGGTTGGAGTCCTTTTCTTTAGGGGGCGTCCTCTTTCAGGGCTGTCTTTTTGTATGTCCTTTATGTAGGCCCTTTTTGTAGATCTTGTATCTTTTTCCATTATTCTCAATGAAAGTGTTGTTTCTTATTAAAAAAAATAAGTACCGACCATTATTTAAATTTAAAATTAAAAAAAAAACCTAAACCTAGCTGGCGGCGGTGGGTGTTGTTCGTTGGTGATGGAAGAAGGCGGGGGGAGTAAGTGGAAAGTTTTTAAAGTTTTTCTAGTTTTCTTTTTTTTTTTTTAATTTTTTTTATCTTAAAAAATTTTGTCATGTTGTGTCCCCGCGTGTCTAGGACGTGTCCAAAAAAAGACATGCAAATTTGCATGTCCGACATGGACACTCCTAAAATGGAGTGTCCGTGCTTTATAGTTTAACATGGTATCAGAGCAAGAAGCATGTGTTTGAAGCACTGTAGTGTCATTTCCTCCCCAACTATATTGATAATCACTCGTTGAGTCTAATATAAATTTTCAAACTCACAAGTGAGGGTGAATGTTAGATTATTGATAAACGATTAGATTTATTATAGCCCATTCGTTTAAGTTTTTGAATTTCGTGGTTATCTAACAGCATCACTGAGAAAGTTGAGTTAAAACCACAAACTAGAGCTATAAGTTTAGTGGCAAGCAGGTGTCTTTGCCAGGGGTTTGTGGCTTAAAAGAAACAACATGATTTTTAGAGGGGTAGAGAGATCGAGGGAGGAGGTGTTCAATKTTTCCCTTTGGGCCTTGGTGTTTAACGTGTTTTGTAATTATTCCTTAGACTTGATTTTACTTGATTGGAGCCCATTCTCTAGTTTGGTTCCTATTGTTGGGCTAGTTTTTTTATTTACCTCTTTCTTATTCTTTCATTTTTCTCAATGAAAGCTCAACTTTTCATACATTTAAAAATAAAAAATAAAAAAAAATAATCGTAAGTGAGCTATAATCACAAAGTTTATCTAGATCCAAAACTATATACCTACAACTACAATGCAAAGTAACGACCCCAATGACAAACCCGAATTAGATCCAAAACCATACAACCACTCTTACCAACAGGAACTGGAGTAAAAATCCTAGAACTATAAGTTACAACCAAAATCACCAAGTAGGATTAGATCCAAAAGCATAAACTAGAACTACAACATAGGACCGCAATGCTTGTCAAAAAAAAAAAATAAATAAATAAAAAACCAACCATAGGACCGCAATGTAAAATTGAAACTACAAGACAAGACCCAATCACAAACCTACAATCATATACTTCACTAGATGATGGACAGCCTTTCATGAACTCGTTTATTTGGTGAAAGTTTTCATACTCTATTACACAAGTTAGCAAGCTCAACCTATAACTTATACAATTCAACAATCTCAACATTGTACTTTATCAAGCGAACGTCAAAAAGTATTCATGCACTCTTAAAATGGAAAGATAGATGATGATTCTTTGGGAATTTCATATTTCTTTTGATCCATATCTCATTTCTTCAATGTACACGACCTCTTTCCAAGTACTAAAATCAAAATATCTTTGTATGTGATTAGAAGATCAAAATCTACACTCTCATTTTTCAACAACACGACCACATAGACAAAATCTACTGATTCACAATTATTTAGGACATAGCAATGACCTATTTGTAAGCTGACTTGTAATAACTCTTTCATTTGTAATAAAGATCCAAATGGGAAAAAAGAATGTGAGTGATTTTATTGGTTGTTTCTGGCTAGGAAAACATACCACTAATTTTGTGTAATTATACAAAAGGTTTTTAATATCCCATCTCATGTTTTTTCGAAACTGCCATTCCCTCCAGAATATGTCATTTTGAAGTTAATCGGTGACCTTTTGCTCAAGGGTCACTTTCTCTGAACTCATATATCCAAGAGCAATGATAAAAAGGATAGAGAGTAAAAAGGGTAAAGCAATTTCAAGGTCTTCACTCTTTTTTTTTAACAAGAAACAAACTTTTCATTGATAATATGAAAAGGAAGAAAAAAGTTCAAGGATACAAGCTCCCAAAGGAAGCGAAAAAGGAAAAAGAAAAAACAAACAGCACATAGAAAACAAAACCCATAAAAATATGAGAACTGAAGCCCAAGAACAGATGTTGAACACTGATTACAAGAAAGCTCGCCAAAACAAAGGATAGACTGCTGAGGAGGAAACCAAAACCATCACTTAACACAAACTAATCGCCAAAAGAGAAGAAACCAACCAAAAACCTGATGCCCATAATTAAAGCCTACCTAATCAGTGATTGGACTAAACTGCCCCAAACAAAATCTACAGGTGGGGCACTAAATCATTCCAATAGCTTTCTTCGTCCAAAAAGGAAACAAATGAAGGAAAAAGAGTTTGATACTCCACACATGCCTAAATGGCATTGGTAATAATATAACCCAATCACAATCAAACTGAAAATTTCTTGTTCTTAGCAGTATCATTCAATCCTTACAATCATGTTTTTCCATTAAAATGACGATTGTGACATACTATGCCACATCTCSGCAAGTAGGCACGTGCAGAAAGTGGAAAACATTCAAATGCCAATATGAAAGACACGATAAAGGGAGTGTGTTTGGCGTATGATCTAATTTAAATTATTTGAACTTGTGTAAATTTTTCTCTTAGCAATGATTAAACTTAACTTCTAATATATGACCCGTGACTAATCCACCGAAGTTCTAAACAGGCAATCACCAATTTGACTAAATATAGCTATCAGATGACCTATCTAGCCAAATTGGAGAGAAAGAGAGGACATGGATGATACAAAGACAGAATAACTTGTCCAGAATTTAGAGAGACAATAAACTCTCTGTTGTAGTCCCTTCTAACAAGCACAATGTGAATTCGAGATCTAGCATGGATTTTCTATAGTTATCTAGTCTATTCATTTTTCCATGCTCACCATTTACAAGTCTTGAAAGCAGCAGGCGTTGATAATGGACTTCAACCAGTTTTTTAGCTACAAAGTGATATATGATGATTTGATCTAAAATTCAAGTGGAGTTATTCAAGCATTATCCAGGCGGTCCCAAAAGTACATTCACATCAGATTCGGGAAAAATATGTATGTCCAAAAGAGACTTACCCAGCCGAGGTCAGAAACCAATTAGCTCCATTGAAGAAAAACTCATGAAAAATTCTCTTTACTGACTTTAGATCCTCGCCCCATTGAATCAGGCAACAAAACAAGCAAAAATCTACAATCAAACCAGTGGAAGAAAGACGAAGTACTATAAAAGATTCCCATGTGATTAACTACCAGAAAAAAGATAGAGAGAAATGTTACCATAAAATAATAGGAAGGTTGCTCAAATGAAGCTCAAGAAACACACCCAGAAGACAAAATGGACAAAGATTTTGAAACGGAAGGCAGAGAGGCTCCYGATCGCTCGAATGCTCACTCTCGCAGCTAAAAGTAACTAAACCCATATAAGAAAAAACAAATAGTTAACCAATTTCATATATCCTAAAAGAATCCAAAAAGCGAAGAAAGGCTCACTTGGAATGATAATAGCAAGGCAGATATGGGAGCACAGAAACAGAGCAATTTTCAGATGGGAAGCTCCAGCTGACCAGACCTATGCAATTCAATGGATAAATTCAGAGCAGACATCAAGCAAGATGAACCAAACTCCCAAACAGCAGACCTTCCAAGAGCTCGAGGCAATTACCTGATTCGCACTCGATCGAATGAGGAAAGAGACAGAAGTTGGAGTCCTCCGCCCCCGAATTGCTGGAAAATCAACACTGATGCTGTGAAAGAAGAGCAAACAGATCAGTAAAATCACTCGAATTAATGGCGATTTTCAAAGTTCTTCTTTCAATTAACATGAACAGAAGCACTTCGGCTGATCAAGAAAGAAGATACTGACCTAACTGAGATTTATTGGATGGTGGAAGAGAAGAATGGCGTTGCAATTACCCACGCCCGTAGGGAGAAGAACAACGCAGCTCACATCTTGGCGAAAATTTCTATGGACATCGTCGGAGGCCAAAGGAGGTGTCCGCCGGACGGATAAGTTCCCAAATTCGCTCTGTTGGAATAGAAACTGATTTCTGTCTTGTTTTTGGGAAATTGGATGGAACTGGCGTTTTCCCTCCTTTGTAATTTTTAATTAAAAGAATCTTTATTTATTTGTTAATTCATTTTAAATTTGGATTTGTCCAACTGTTTCGAAATTTATTTATTTAGTTCCGATGGATTTAATCTGATTTATTTATTATTATTATTATTTAGATAACATTTTATTTCAACTTTCTCTCGGTCGCTCAACTTTTTCTCTGTCGCTCAACTTTTTCGCTCCCTCTTTATCTCCTTCTCTATCCTCATTCTCATGGTTAGGCCGAACTTTCTCCTTCTTTGAACTTCCTTATTCGACAAACGACCTTCCTTGTCGATTTTGATGCACTCGTCGTGACGATTGCTGAAGATCACCAAAATCATGGGGCTGTTCGTTAAAAAAAAAAGAAAAAAAAAGAGAGGAGTAGAGAAGAAGAGAACGAGAAACACAATAAAATTGTAGAGATAATGAAAGAAAACTCCTCGACAGAAAGAGATAAATAATGGGTTAATGGAAAATGACAGAAGACAAAAAAAATTAATGGAAAATGAGAGAAGAAAAAAGTATTGGAAAGAGAGAGAGAGGGAAATAGAGGGAGGGAAAAGCATAATGGAGAAAGAGGGAGATAGATAGAGATAGGGAAATAAGAGAGAAATCCAATAGTAAGTTGAGGGATGTTGAAAGTAAATGGACAATTTGGTGATGTATTTTGAAAAAGSTGAYTAAAAAACATAAAAAGAAATTATAGATGTGGTCGATAAAAATTCTATTCAATGGTTTGTATTATATATAGAATTTGTGTTAGAACTGTATAAAATAGTATTTATTTTTTTATATCCGTGAGTGTTCATACCAGCTTACGCGCATCTCGACACAAAAGAAAAAATTACTAATTCTTAAGGTAGTGGTTATCATGACATTTGAACTCACTCACTCTTAATTAACCCTAGTCCATTTATACCAATGAGTCACTCATTTCCTCTTAATATTTTAAAAGTATGACGATTGAAAATTAATTGTTTAAAAGTACGAAGACTGAAATGAGATGAAAATTAACCAAAATTAAAATTTTTTTAGTACAATATACAGAGGTGGAGAATCGAACTCACGCCCTCTTAATTCAACTATGTTCATTTTGGCTAATAAAAAATTAACATTACAACGACTCAAAATAGTATTTTATGSGGTATAAATTTGGGATACTCAAGTGACTATGACAAATCTCTTCCACTCCTTTATTTTTGTTAAATATTTTTCCTTATTGGTTCTTTGATAATATTTTGAAATTCGCCCTCGCCGYAACTTTTTCATAAAAAATTTCCTATCACCTTTATTTTAGATATTTATTAATTCTATTAGCATTGGTCCAAATTTATTTTTAAAAAATTTAAAATACTATAGACCACCTTTTAAAAGAAAAAAGAACAAATATATATAATATTAAGGCCATCCTTTTAATGCTACGTTATAAAAAGAAAACTATACACATTTGGTAAAAACAAAAAAAGTTAACATTTCTCCAAATGCAGAATATATTTTGAACAAAATTATAAAGCCAAGTTAGGACATAAGATTGGATATTAAAAAAACTATGATTAAAAAAACAAAATTAAATAACCAACATAATTGTCAAAACGAGTCTAGTTCACCGATAATTTGACATATATCTCCCATMAAAAATATTCCACCTGCACATATAATCAAAATCAACCCAAATTAAAATTACAACCATCAAAATAGACTAATTTAACATAAATTTCAAACACAACTTTAAAAGTTTGGAATAAATTTAACCTTTAAAAAAAAAAAAGAAGAAGGAAAAAATAGAGAAAAAACCTCTCCTCATCTCAATTGTTGGGACTCGGGAGCAGAAGCCCGACTTTCCAAGCGCCACAGCACGAGCAACGAAGAGTTATTAATCAGCCACACCGTACCTACCCAATTCCATTTCGCCCACACCCACAACCAAAATCAACTCATTATCCAATTCCCAATACAAAATTCAACTCAAAATCTCATATTTTCTCCTCCTCCTCCGCACAATCTCCCTCTATTCGCACCACAGAGGTCAGATTTTCTTCCCCTCTTTCCTCCTTGTAACTTATATGCATGAATTAATCGGTTCGACATTCATCAGCTCATACAATTTAATTAAACTTGTGTGGATAAATTCATTTCCAACAGAGTGAGAATGTCAATCGAGGGGCTAGATTATGTACCCATCTGCATATAATTGAAGTTAGCCATTGGGGGTTTGGGAATACGGGTTATTTTTATGATTTAGCTTCATTTATTGATGTAATTTCCAACAATTTATTGACAGATCATCTGGGTTTTCGTTTCTCTGGGTTGTGGAACATCTGGTTTTCAGGGAAACGGCAATGGAATGAAGTTGGGGTTCAGATGAAGATTAATCTTAAGTTTCATGAGTGTTGCTTGCTACTTAGTAGAGGGTATTCTTGAACTAAAATGTATGGTATTCCTGGTTGGGCCACCATTGGTGCTATGGGTTACGCTTTGAGTAGACTGGAGATTGGTTCTGACTGTGATGGTGACATGAATATCATCAATGCAGCGGACGAAGGTCAAGTTTCCAATAATAAACCTTTGAATAATTTAGATGATGAAATTGCTCAGCTCACTAGGATGAAATCGGGACCTAGTGCACTTCTGAGCCAAGTAGTGCCTGGGAAGAGGGAGATATTTGTTTCCCCTGTAAAAATGCTGGCAGGTCGAGAATGTAATTACTCGGGAAAGGGCCGGTTCTCAGCTGGAGATTGTTGTCACGTTTTAAGCAGATATTTGCCTGTTAATGGTCCATGGCTTGTGGATCAAATGACCAGCCGAGCCTATGTCTCACAGTTTTCAGCAGATGGTTCCCTATTTGTTRCCGGATTTCAGGTACATCTGTACAAACCGTATGTAGAATATAATATGTGAAAGCTCTATTTGGCTTTTGATGAATCCTTTAGGTTGGTCCTAATTGTACTGACATCTATATCTTTCTTGTTCCCAGTTCTTAAAGCTGTGTTAAATGTGTCTATCCATGAACTATTAAGTCTAGATTTTCTCTGTCGAAAAATTGAGACGCTGCTTACATGCTGTAATAAGTAGCTAATAATTGGGGCATTTGTTGACAGGGAAGCCACATTAGAATATATAATGTGGATAACGGGTGGAAAGTTCAAAAGAACATTGTTGCAAAAAGTTTGCGGTGGACAATTACTGATACATCACTCTGCCCTAACCAACGTTTTCTTGTAAGTGCTTACTCGAGGAAATTTTCATGTACCAAGTCTCAAGATATTTGCTTCTGTGGCACTTTGACATTATAGAATAGCTAATTTATCTTTTCTATTGTCAGATATTTGTTTTGAAGGACGAACTAAGGGCAGGGGATGAGAAGGCCCCCCCTAAAATTAGACTAATACAACTTTCCAATCTTGACAGAGCATAGCTATGCTATAATTATAAAAGGATTTCTTATAGTTTAGGCACCATAAGGAGGAACAAGTATGAATATTCTCCCAAAAAGAATCAAAGGGGAGAGAGATGTCGTTGAAGAACCGTCAACTTCGTTCTCTCCAAATTCCCACAAAATACTGCAAACTGCAATTACCCACAAAACTTTTGCTTTGTCTTTCAGATGCCAACCTTGGAGAGCTTCAAAAAGCCATCCATCAACTGTTCTAGGAAGAGAAATAGTTAGCATATTCTTGTGCCTGATTTATCAAATAGGACAGAATAAAATGTTCTTGCATGCCTTTACATGTTAGGTTGTATTTCAAAGAGAACTACTAAGGGGTCCTTCATGCTTTGTGTTAGATCACAACTTTGAGGTTTTTGTTCCTTTTATTTGGTTAGTTTCAATAAGTTCAATACAACAGAACCCCATCGAGGAATCACAAACCCCTTACAAATTATAGTAGCTTACTCATGCTGATGAGCGTTCTTTTGCTAGCTTGAGTGGAAATTCTAATTTTTTATTAATTTTATTTAATGGGGAATCTATTCACAGATTATTCTATTTTTTAGTGTATACTTGTGACTGGGTCAGAAAATGCTTCAAATGCAATTCATTTTTGTGTCCTTGTTGTTGTTGGCATTAGACATGGTTGGGTTGCTATTCAGCTCCACATTTTAACAAAATAATTCCACCTTTGAGATAAAATGGGAACTACTGTTTTTGTGATGAACGTGTTTTGGAGGTTTTAGGATGCATTTATTGTTCTATTGTAATACGGTTTGTTTTATGAATGGATGATATCTGTCTATGTGAAATGTTTGGGAACCTGTCTGTGTCTTAGAATATTCTAACTCATTGACCTTGTTGTTTCAGGTCTATGCCAGCATGTCACCAATCATTCATATTGTTAATGTGGCATCTGCTGAAACAGAGTCTCTTGCAAATGTTACAGTATGAGCTTTTGCTAAATTTGAATTTTACTTGACAATATCATTTGTTGAAATATGGTTCTTAGATGCTATATAATGTAACGACACAAATTCTTGGCCAACGTCTTGTTTTATTGACTGTGAATCTGTGATTCTCCCTACTTTGACTATTTAGCTAAAGTACCTTGGAAAGTGTGGAAGTACCTTAGCTTCATAAAGAAGAATGAAAATTTAGTTTAGCTGTAGGTATCTCTCGACTATCTGATACTCAATAGAATTCTTATCTTCTCGAGGGTTATTGGAAAATTTTAAAATGTGTGGTACCAGCAATGCAATTATGTGGGTGGAAAGTCTATGGTCAGCTGATCTTGCTTGCTCCTTGCATAAGTACGAATTGTTAGATGTCATAAAATGGAACAAAGAGTGCATGATTGATTTAGCTACATTATGTAACTGTGAAAATTGAATTGCATAGCTTCAACCATCATTCTACATTTTTGGCACTTGAAGCTAGTTGACTGAGATTATTGGAAATCTGTAATTTTCTTTTGCCATACGGAGTTCCCCATTTCTCTATTGTGATTTGCTTGCTTCACTTTCATATTAAAAATGCTGCAGGATGTCCATGAGGGACTGGATTTCTGTGCAAATGGCAATGGAAGAGATTCTTTTGGAATTTTCTCTGTGAAGTTTTCGACAGATGGACGAGAACTTGTTGCTGGAAGTAGCGATGATTCTATTTACGTCTATGATCTCGAAACTAATAAACTTTCCCTTCGAATTTTGGCACACAGAGTTACGTTTTTTCATCATTCTCTAATTTTACATTCTTTATCTAAAAAGAGCATCAAGTATTACGAAATATGATTTATATACCTGTAGAGTATTTTTCGATGTCTAAATTTTGTTTACCTTTCAGTATCTTYCATCTGTACTGTTATTCTTCTTACTTTGTGCCATTTTCTTGGGGGTTGGATGGAGGTGGAGTTATTGTGCTCTTTGAATTATCTAATTTAGTGGCTTAATTGCATAAGGTGCATGTAAAACGAAAAAAAACTTGAGATATTTTAACGATTCAAACTCTTACCATTCTTGTATTATACATAAGAATATGTGATATCAAATTGTCAGAAAAAAATAAAACAGAGAAAAGATTGGTTTGTTCTCACTTGTTGCCAAGGTAAAGGCAACAAAACTGCTTAAGAGGTGAAAAAGCTTGAATAATCCCAGTTATCGGTAATAAAGTGGAGAGAAACTGAAAAATTACAACACTTTTTATAAGGACATCAACAAAGAGCACCCGCCTTGTATTCCTTTTTCCATTTACTGATAGACAGTAAAAGAAAATTGAAAATTTTCTGGTTGTTCCTAGAGAAGAAATTACTTCGAAAATCTATTTCTAAGTCACTGTTTTCGCAATAGCAGAAATTGGATGAAATCATAAAATACACAAAGAGATTGTGAATACAGATTTTATTGAGTCCCCTGGGTAAAACATTGCTTGTAAAGCCTGATTGGTGATATGGTGGACACTTGACAGTCTAACCCCCCAGGTTTATAATTGAGTCTAGTTTGAATACCTTATACTTATTAATTTAATTTTTATTTTCCAAATTATGTTGATCCCCCGGTAGATTTTTAGATGGTTATAAACAGGTTTATGATGGAAACTTTTTGTGTTTTCTTTAAATATTTGATGGAATAGTTTTCAAAAGCTGTTGTGCTTTATTTTGAAAGATTGTTGCAAAAAAGAAAATTTTTTTATATTCTTGCCTTTCCATGTACATTCAATTTTATTTGTTTTAAAGTATCATTAACTATTTCCTCCAACAACTACTGGTCTGATGTGATCAGCAAGATGTATTGAAAACACAAAATATAGTCTAGAGCCTTTCTGAAACATACAGTTTTGGTCCCTTCGGGACATCCGATAAAATTGAAACATACAGATTTSGTAACTTTATGAGGATTCTTGTTCATATACTAACCCTTCCTCACACCTAGCCTCTTAATTGTATTGTAATTTTTTTCTATTATATATCATCTTATAGTTTGCATAATCATCTTCTTGTTCTTCACTCACCTGTGGAGGAATTTTTGCATATTATGGATCTGCAGATGTTTTTTTGTTAATTTTTTAATGGTAAATCTTCCTAACATTCCAAGTTTTCTCTTATTGTGCACAGTCTGATGTGAATACTGTGTGTTTTGCTGATGAAAGTGGCCATCTGGTTTATTCTGGAAGTGATGATACTTTTTGTAAGGTACAAATCCCCTGCTCTGCTTTTATCAAAGACTTGATCASWTTAGTTTAGAAGGCAATTTAATAATGTTTTTCTCCCAATTATTTAATAATGTTCCAACCTCTTTTGCATGAAATCTTGAACCAGGAGTGATTGTTGGCCTTACAACCTCAGTTTTCTCGAAACTTGGAAATTAGTTGCAATGGTTTTAATCACTTGAAGCAACTAACTGTTGGCTAATCCCGAAAACAACTAATAAATTGTTCTAGAATTTTGTTCCATAAATGAATTCACGCAAGCACGAGGATTGTGTGTTTGAGAAATTTGTTCTCTTTCAAGGATTAAAATGATATGATGTATTCTTGTAGGTGTGGGACCGACGTTGCTTTATATCTAAAGGGAAGGCGGCAGGGATCCTAGAAGGACATGTAGAAGGTATCACATTCATTGATAGTCGTGGGGATGGTCGATATTTGATTTCGAATGGTAAAGACCAGACCATTAAACTTTGGGATATCAGAAAGATGTCCAGCAATGCTACTCAGTATGTTCTGTTTCCATACTCCCTTTATTTGTAGCTTATTTGAAGTACAATCTAACCATTGTTGTAAATCTCTAAATCTCAACAAACACCCTATTATGCAATTAATGCTCAAATGATGTTTGAGTTAAAAAATCTTGGAAGTATAAATTCATATTAAAATTCAACAATTCATAATTGTTTCGTTATCTTTTTTTTTTCTTTTTTTATGAGTTAAAATATAGCATGATAGCTCTCTTTAAAAGATGGTATCTATATTATCTTTTAAAATTGAAACACTCTTTTCATTGATGTGCGACACTCTTTTTCGTTCCAGCTACAACAGGCCTAGAAATTATGACTGGGATTACAGATGGATGGATTATCCACTCCATGCAAAGAATTTGATACATCCACGTGACTGTTCCGTTGCTACATACAAGGGTCATTCAGTCTTGCGGACGCTTATTCGTTGTTATTTCTCCCCTGAATATAGGTGAGCTTTTTGTGGGTGTAACTGCATATTATAATTTTTAGATACCTCTCACTAAAAGTTTGGACATTCATATGAATGAGTTCTTTTTTCTGCCTTGCAAATTATCACTGAGGGACATTAGCTATCTGCTCTTCTGCATAAAAATGTGTACAAGAACCACTAAAATTTTGACCCCTGTTTAAATTTTTGAAAAAAGGAAAAAGTCTTTCTTCTCTCCTCCTCTATGCGTTTCTCTCTTCCATCGGTAAAAAAAACTTAGTAGTGGGTAGCAGACCTGCCAGTCAGTAGGGTCGGCAGGGTAGTATTGTTTTAAAAATATTAGCTATAAAGTTTTTCCTTGTGCAGCAGTTTGTTCTTGCTATTTAAACTTCACTTCTAGCGAATGAACTAACCAGCATCAGTTTCTTTTGTTATCGACTCCCTTCACGTACGTTGCTTGATTTTTCAATAAACCTTATTTTATTGTGAAATCGATCTCTTTTTATCACTTTTGCAGTTAATAATCGAAACTATCTATATCTTGATTTGTGGTCAATTTCTTGTTATTGCAGCACTGGTCAGAAGTACATCTACACTGGATCTCACAATTCCTGTGTTTATATTTATGATTTGGTAAGTCATTTGGTATTGTTTATAAGCATCTTTTTTTCATATGAGGTTTCAAACTGAAGTTGGACCCCGAAAAATTACGACTCCCCTTCATAAGAAAGAATCAGAATATCAATCAGATGGAACAAAAATTTGAATTACTATATATGTGCAAATGCAAAAGAACATAATACTTTCACTTGCATGAGGACTGAGTGAGATATATTTCATAAAAATCACTGGCTGATTTTGTAGTGCACTGGCCATAGATGAATCGTGTTTACTATAACCCCCTATTAGTTAGTTCAGTTTACTTGCAGGTCTCATGCAAAGTTTAACGAGTGAAGGGATCATTAAAAAGATATTTGAATTTACCATATCCTATTAACTTAAGGTTTTGGGTTTCTTGGTCACTTAGCATGGWATCAGAGTAAGGATATCGTGTTTAAACCCTTGCATTGTTATTTTCTATCTAATTAATATTTTGATAGTAACAACGTGCGGGATTGAACCCACAAGTGAGGTGGAGTAGCATGGAGTAGCATTGTGTTGAGCAACGTATAAGAGATGGAATATACTGCAATATCCCCTTATAAATTTAGAATACTTGTATTGATTATAATCTTCTCAAACTATCTTAGTGGCTATCATTTCTCTCTCTCTTTTTTTTTTTTTTTGTATTATTAGTATTTTACGTAGTAAACTTTTCAACTTCCAATTTGTTTTTTTAGTACAATTTTGTGTCTAGGTTTTTGAAGTTGAGCATA